GTGTCTACTTCAGCAGGGTCAAAGAGAGAAACTTAATGGAGAGAAAATTCATTATCCAGAGAGCACAGACAAAAGCACTGCTGGTAGTACCCTTGGCATGAGTCCAGACTACACTCTAGTGATTCATGGGGGTGCTGGAGAAGAGATAATGCTGAACTCCCAAGTAATAGGGGTCATTGAGTTTGCTCTTCAAACAGCCTTAACTCTTGGATCCCACGTGCTTCAACAAGGTGGCAGTAGTCTGGATGCAGTTCAGAGGTCAGTGGAAGCTCTGGAAGACTGCTTTCTGTTCAATGCAGGTAAAGGTTCTGTATTTAACAAAAATGGTAAAAATGAAATGGAAGCAACCATTGTGGATGGCAGTACAAAGAAGTCAGGATCTGTTGCCTGTGTGCAAAGTCTAAAGAACCCAATAAAAGCAGCCAGGTGTGTAATGGATAAAAGCTCACATGCACTGATCGTGGGAGACGGAGTTGAAGAGTTTCTTGAAGAGCTTGAGGAAAAGCAGAAGCCCGTTGGCCCTGAGTATTTCTACACTGATGTACGTCACAGAGAGTTAACTGCAAAACTCAGTAGTGGAAAAAACTCCAAAAACAATCATCCACAGACAGTTGGTGCTGTGGCCTTGGATCGCTGGAATAGATTGGCTGCTGCAACCTCTACAGGCGGGTTGGTAGGAAAGCTGAAAGGGCGAGTTGGGGACACAGCAGTAGTAGGAGCAGGTATATATGCTGATGACAAGTTAGCCATTACCTGCTCTGGAGATGGGGATGTTTTTTTGAGGAACACAGTTGCTCAGAAAATAGCAAGTCTATACCATCATAAAGGCCACAGCCTTAGGGAAGCGTGCAGAGAAGTGATAGCTGAAGATCTGAAGGAGATCTGTGCTGGAATCATTGCTCTGGACGCTAAAGGTGATGCTGTCATTGAGACAAATGCTGGTGTGATCTTTGTGGCCTCAATGATTTGTGGCATTTCACGAGTAGAGGTCCTCAGACCCCTGAGAGATCCCCCTAATGTTATCTGGGAAACAGATGAGCTTGTTGCTTATCTAAATCCCAAACCCTGGATCCCTGGAGCAACGATTCTGACTAGAAAAACTCTTAGTGGGGCAAGCAGCATCTTCCACTTAGCTACAGCTGATTTTGTTGCTATGCTACAAGGAGCAAGAGTTGTCTCAAACTTGCTATGTGAGCGACTGGGAGTGCAACGTTGTGCCTTGGTATTCAATCCAAGTCCTGGTGAGCCAGCACAAATCAGACTCCTCCCTCTTCATGGCTTAGAGCCAAAATGGCAGCCCCATCTTGCTAGTGAAGAAGAGTTCCATGCTTATAATCCTGGCTATTGCACCTCAAAAAGTGGTCCACGCTGGGATAATGAAACACTGGCTCAGGTTCAAGATAAGATTAGAAGTGCACTGCCAACACCAAATGCACCTTTTTGCTATGATTTTTTGGGGGACCTATCCAATGACAACCTGTTCAGTCGCATTGTTCGTGGGGAGCAGCAACAGTGGAGAGTGTGGGAAGACAGTGAGTTTGTTGCCTTTCTGACACCTTATCCAAACAGTCCTGGTCTAACTGTTGTGGTGCCACGCAAACCTCTGTCCAGTGACATCTTCAAACTGAAGGAACCTGACTACACAGCACTGATCTTGGCCACTTACAAAGTTGCTCGACTGCTGGAAGAGGGGATGAAAGCTCCAAGTGTTGCACTGATCTTTGAGGGATTTGAGATCGACTATGCTCATGCCAAGTTGATCCCTCTGTTACCTTCACCAGATGGCACTAAACCTGCTGAGCTGCAAACAGAATGCTTTCAAAGCTACCCTGGATATGTTTCATCACTGAATGGTCCACCCGCTGACTCTGAAACCCTCAAAACCATCCACTTGAAAATTACCCAGTGCAAGCCTGCTCGTTCCTGGACAGATCCTGAGTCTCACTCCATGGCAGCCATCAAGAGCCAGTGGTATCGAAACCTTTTCAAGATCCAAAACACTCTTTTCCACAGCACAGTGGAATACTTCAACAGTTCCTGCCAGTACGCATATGCTCTGACACCTCTCACCACTGACACCATCTCCTCACCAATGGGCTTGGGTTCTGACTCAGAGCCAGTTTCTGTCAATCTCCTGGGCCAGGGTGTGTACCTTGCTGACTCAATGCAATTTGTACTGGAATACTTCCTTCGCTTCCAGGAAAACCTGCCAGGGACCTACTACATATCTCCCAGCTTCAGAGGGGAAGATCCTGATGCCACACACTTAAACCAGTTCTATCATGTGGAGTGTGAACTGCAGGGTGACATGGACAATGCAATGTCCATAGCAGAGGGATACTTGGTTCATCTCACCAAGTCCATGTTGAAGAAACACTCAGATATAATCCTGAACACTGCTGGGACCCTTGCACATGTCACAGCTCTGCTCAGTAAGCTGGAGGGAAAATCCAGACTTTCAAGAGTCTCTCTAGACCAGTCCATCCCCATGATGCCCTCTGCTGACTGTTTAGAGTGGGTCCAAGATGGTCAGCCGAATTTTGGCAGAAAGTTAACACGTAAAGGAGAGCGGGTTTTAATTGAGAAATATGGTGGAGCTGTTTGGCTGACCGAGATGGACCATCTGGCAGTTCCATTCTACCAAGCATATGTGGAGGGCACTGGGCAACGCAAAGCCAAAGCTGCCGACCTTTTGCTGGGGCTGGGTGAGACTGTAGGTCTTGGTGAACGCCATTCAACTCCTGAGATCGTACAAGAGGCTCTGAGGCATCATGGAGTGTCAGAGAAATCTTATAAATGGTACATTAACATGCGCCAAGTGAAACCACTCCTCACCAGTGGATGGGGTATGGGGACCGAGCGCTACTTGTGTTGGTTGCTCCAGCATGATGATATCAGGGATATACATATCATCCCCAGGATGAAAGGGGTTAAGTACATGCCTTGATTATGAGTTTTCCACATTTTTCAAGCCATTGAAATTGACTTGAAAAATGGCTATAATGCATGTGGAATTGTACCATGAAAATGTTTCAGTAATCCCTAGATTACTAGAATTTTCCACATATATCTTGGACAGAAGAAATCTCTTAGAGCTCCCTTAGTGCAACCTGGTCATTGACACTCTGCAAATTTTTACAACTCCAGCAGAAGCTGTAAAAGAAAAAATATGCATTTAAATGTAGAGTGGTAAGATCACAGCATTAATGTGTGTGGAAATGCATGAACCGTTAATCGATTTTGAATTATGTATACATGTTCTTGTAATGAGACTGATTTTCACTATTGACAAAATCATTATTTACTGGGTTTAAATTGTAGTAAGTAAATACATTTTAATTGAGTGATAATTTGATGACTTTACATAAACGTTGTATACTATTTTAAGTGTCACCTCTTTATATTTTTTCCATGATGTCGTGTTTTTTGTTGTTGTTTCTATCACATTACCTTTTTATGTAAATGTTTTTGCTGAGGTCAAATGGATCGTGACTCACTGATGTTTGCACTCAGTATTATCGATATTCAAAAGAACTATTGGATCCAAAATAAATATCAGTGACAGATTCGTATGGATTACTGATGTATCCAATTGACCCTTTTCATAAGACATCTACATTCTTGAGACTAAGAGATATATGTTTTCATGCCATTGGAGTTTATCAGAATAAAAATCAGAATACGTTAATAATCCCGTTTAAGATAGTTTAATGATATATATCAACTGTTTAAAATGATAACAGTGTCAGCTGCATCAGTGTCATTTGGCAAAGTTGGTTGGATTCACTGATTCTCCAAATAGTCTCACATTGCTCAGAGCTATTTGGTTTATTGTTGATTTAATAAACATTTGTTGATGCAACTAAAAAGATCATGACTTTGATGTTCTTATAAAGTCTTACATACACATGTATGTATGTATGTATGTATGTATGTATGTATGTATGTATGTATGTATGTATGTATGTATGTATGTATGTATGCTGTTCTCCACAATAGAGAAAAATTACAGAAAGTTCTTTCTTGATTGCATTAAAATTGAGTGCATCAGTTTTCATCTTTTAATATTAATTAAATGTTTATTTGTTTGTCAATTTTAATCCATCCTTCCAATAAAATTTATTAGAAAAAAGTGACACTTGGACAAAAAATTATGCTACATGCATTCACAATTTTAACATGAAACAGCAACCAATCCTCCAGACAGAATTCCAGAATCAGCAGTTTAGTATGAAAGAAAGAAAAGTATGAAAGAAAAAGTATATCTTTGGCTTAGATTTTTGAAAAATAGCCACAGCTGATGCTTGTCCAGGGTCTCTCTGGAGGGTAATTCCAGAGTTTTAGTGCAATGATAGCAAATGCATGAGCTCCATTTGAAATAAGCTTTAAATATCCACCACATTTGCAGGCGCGAGACCATTTAGGGCTTGAAACACAAACAGTGCCAATTTATACCTGATTCTGTAACGTACAAAAAGCCTTCCAACACCGGAGTGATGTGAGCTCTCTTTTTTGTCCCTGTCAGTAATGTGGCTGCAGCATTTTGGATAAGAAATGACTGACTAGCTCCAGTGTACAGTGCATTACATTACCCGTGTTTAGATATAACAGACCTATATATAACCCTTTTCCAAATCAAGTTTAAGAAAAAGTTCTTTGTCTGGAGATTGCTGTTACCACAGCAAAATAGTGAAAACACAAAATTGAAAAGCATCACCTTTTTGAACTTTAAGACCTCAGTACTACACAGGTATCAGCTATAACCTTATTTCAATATAGATTCATAGTATTAAATTAATTATTATTATTATTAAATAAATAAATTAAAAATAAATAAATGTTGTGTCTTTGTGATTTTAATAAATTAAAACTGAATTGAAATTAAGGCACAATTTCTTAAAAATATAATTCGACGGACAATGTTATTAATTCAAAATAAAAGCGTAAAAAAACACTAAAAACTGACCCGGATATACTGTATGAATAGCAGACTATTTGTTTCCGGTTTCCACTATCGAGTCTGACCCCCGGCTAGAGCAGAGGTCTGCTTCCCCCAGAAGACAAACTATCTTTGGTCCTTTTTTCCTGAGAAGTAGGTGGCTTAGATTTGTTTTGTTGTGTCTTTGTGTGGCTCGTTTATCCTCGCTCGCACAAACGTTTCAATGACCATATTTTGTCCATAAAGCTGGCTGAAAGTAAGGTCAGCGCTTGCTTCGGCAGCTAGTTAGCGTGTTGTGCTACAAAGAGATGTGACTTGATCCAGCCATTTTCTAAAGACTAGTGAGCCTCGGTATGTAACACGGCAACGCTTTCTTTTCGCTGATGAAACGATCCCATAGCATGTGCCAGAAAACAGACTGCGAGCTTTAGTGTTTGCTTGGTTAGGTTTACACAGAGGCTAACGTGGCAGTCTGAGCTGACGCTGCAGCTGTGTTTTTACAGCGTGTGGCATGTTTGGTTTTCCACTTTAAAGGTTGGATTTTTACACGGATGAAGCCATTTCTAACTGTCACTTCAGTCCTCTAATCGTCTACCCTGTGCTCGCCCTTTGCACAGGAGCAAGGGTATCCCCCTCCTCTCCATGTGTGATCCCTGATGGGCAGCTGGTCTCGCAGTGCCGTGCTGGAGCTCTACAGGGCGCTGCTCCGGGCAGGCCGACACCTTCAGTACACAGACCGGAATTACTATCGCCGCGCCGTGGCTCGCGAGTTTCGCCGCTGCCAGGCACTGACGGTCCCAGAAGATAAGGAGGAGGCCCTGAAAAGGGGCCGGTTCTTTCTCAGCAGCCGACTGGGTGGGCTTATGTAGGAGGAAGGGGATCAGGGGCCATCAGGTGGTGGGTTAAAGGTTGTCCGAAGGTACATCTTCCAGGTGGGTTTACACGTAAAACGTCAGGAGTAAACAGACATTCTTTGTAATGGTTTAGTTTGTAGGAAGTGATGTAAACAAGATCACATGGTGATGAGCTATCCACTGATTTCTTGGCTCTTCCCACCCTAGGCATCCTGACTCCACTTCTTTTTCTTTTTTTCTTTTTTTTCCCAGTGCCAGGATGGCGGGGGTGAACGGAGACCGAAAAGGAAAGAAGGATGATAATGGGATTGGAACAGCTATTGACTTCATGCTTTCAAATGCCAAACTTGTGCTGGGGGTGGGAGGGGCAGCCATGCTTGGCATTGCAACACTAGCCGTCAAAAGAGTGAGTACTATCATGAAAAGTGTGTGTGTGTGGTGGTGGTGGGGGGTGGTGGACTAACTAATACCAATACAATGAATTTTATGTGCAGATGTATGATCGTGCCATAAGTGCTCCCACCAGCCCCACAAAGATGGAGCAGACAGGAAAGAGAAGCTGGGAGGAGCCTGCCTGGATGGGGTCGTCCCCGAGGGTTTTAAACCATGACATGAAGTCCACAGTTAGCAGGTCGCTGCAGTCTCTGCCCACTTCTTCACATGCTTTTGAACCAGGTGAGGGGAAGCAAATTGTCCTTTAATTTATAACTTATATATGAGGTAGACTATCGGCCAGCTCTCATCTTTTTTTTAAATGTTTTTGTTTAATCTGCTGACAGACAGCCTGTTTGGAGGATTCTTGCTCTTCCTTTACAGTGGGTGCTGGCTCGTTTAAGTTTAGATACCCAGCTGTTTTATACTAATCTTTAATTGTAATGTTATAGAAACTGTAGAAGCCCCTTCAGTTAGTCTTCGTAGAGTTAGTTCTGTCATATTAGAATATTTAGGGAACATAACCGTGCCACTCCCATCCTATTACACTTTTACCCATCGCTTCCTCCTGAAAGCGCAGATGAGGAAATCTCACAAAATCCTGCTGCACTTATTAAAACAACGCATCTGTAACTTGTTTTCTTCCCAGACTGTCTGCGAAGGGCTGTGGGTCGAGCTGCTGTGGGAAGAAGCGATGCCACCCGGTCGGATATGATGCGGGCCCGGATGCGTCTGTCTTTGCAAGAACACCTGTGGGAATTCTACCAAAATAATGTCAACATCCCTGCTGAGGAGCAGGCCATGGCCAGGAGGGCGGCGCTGGACATCTGCGCTGAGCTCAGAGTGTTTCTTCATGCCAAACTGCCTGACATGCCGCTCAGAGAGATGTACCTCAGTGGCAGTCTGTACGATGACCTTCAGGTAAGAGCGCTTATTTTTGGGATTGTTTTTTTTCATAATGACACATTCATTTAATTGGAAACCATTCTCCCCTGTTCTGCCTCCAAGGTTGTAACAGCCGACCACGCCCAGCTCATGGTGCCTCTTGTCTTGGAGAAGAATCTGTGGTCGTCCATCCCCGGAGAGGACACGATCATGAATGTCCCAGGTTTCTGGCTTGTCCGTAGGGAGAATTTGGAATATTTCCCTCGGAGCAGCAGCTATTGGGACCGATGCATGGTCGGAGGTTATCTCTCCCCGAAATCAGTGCTTGAAGTCTTTGAGAAGCTTGTTGCAGGTTCTATTAACTGGCCAGCTATAGGGAGTGTCCTCGACTATATCATCCGTCCCGTGGTTCCCGCCGAAACGCTGACTCTGGAGGTACAGTACGAGACGGACAGGAAGCTGTATGTGGACTTCTTGCCTTTGCTCGTGATGGAGGATGGAACCTCACTGATTGCCAAACCGCACCGGTTTGCTGCAGAGCGCCACGAAAACCTGTGGCGGCAGAGCTTCCGCGTGGCCGAGACCGCGCGGCTCAGGGCACTAGATCAGGAGGATGGCGGCTGCCGCTGCACCTGCCTCAAAGTGGCGAAGGCTGTGTGCAAGCTCAACCCTGCCCTTCACAAGCTCAACTCCAGCCAGCTCACTAATACCATCCTGTTGCTCAGTGAAAAAGAAGGTGACTGGACTCAGGAAGCGCTGGCCGACCGCTTCCTTCAGCTGCTACGAGCGCTAGTGGGGCACTTGGAGGCTGGGAAGCTGCCGTGTGCCCTTAGCCCTAAAGTGAACTTGTTTTGTGAGCTGACTGATCAAGAAGTGGACGAGCTAGGGTATACCCTCTACTGTGCGCTGTCTGATCCCGGGGGACTGCTGAGAACTGCAGCACAGCCACCACACCTCTGAATGGTAACGCTGAGCTGTGACGAGGTTGAGGGAATAAAAACATGTGCATGGAATAATCCTCTCTTGTGCAACACATGCTCTCTTGATTAGTCATGGCCTCCTCTACATGCAGAGGCCCGTACACACAGTAGCAGTTACTCAAATGTTGGGGATATGTTAACATTAAAGACGTATCGTTGTGATCCAAATATTATTTTGATCTCAGAGAACAGAGGTGGTTTTTTGGTGCTGATGGCTCTCACTAAGGCCATTGTGTTAATGAAGTTAAGAATGGATGCACCATTATGGTCGAGTGTTGAGTTCCTGCAGAAGACTTGATGTCCGATGCAGGTCAGGGTTACATGAACCGATTGCTAACTCAGTTTTTGGGATTTGATTCAAAGAACAGAGTGTAATGCTGCGTGTGTGTATGCCAACTCAAAAGTTAATAAATCGTTAATCATCCTGAATGACATCTGCGAGGAATCTTCATTAATACAGTGGCTGCTTTTTTTATTGTATGCTTTACGTTACCTCGGGTATGTGAAAACAGTCATTAAGTGTGTGTTTGGAACGTCTGCTGCTTGCATGTGTTAATATGGAACAGGTTTAAATACAGAGTTGTATGTCCATGTCTTGCTCCACACCGTTCAACCAAGGTAACTGATTTAAAGTTTACTATAAATAGAAAGAGGACATTTCTGGGGAGTCGCTGGTTGATGAAATTCCCCAAAAGGAGAAGTAAAAAAGAGGATTCATGTGATGATTGAATACAAAGTTGCTCTTTGTTTGCTTTTGCTCATCTCCAGACTCATGTTTGCTGCTTTAATCCACAGGTCTGATATGCTTTAATCCTAATTTTGTTCATTTTCTCTCATTACTAGTGTCCTGCTGTAAATTTGGAACAATGTTAGGCATTCAGGAGGACTGAAAGCGCTGTATCTCTTGGCCTTTGCTTTAATTTCCTGCTATTGCTCTAAACTATATCCAGTATGTGTTGCATTCACTTGCTCCATCTGGGCCTCCGTGTCTTTAGTAGCAAGATGGTTCTTTTGTGTTGGCAGTTTTTCCGCCGTTGTCCCCGTGCAATTTGAGAGTTAAAGAACAACAAACATGGTTTTAACCCGCAGGGGGTTTTGTTTGTCCTTTTGGTGTATTAGTCTCAGTATTAACTGAAGCCTCAGATCACAGTCAGAGTAGAGCCTGTTGTCTTTGTGTGCTTGCATATAAACCCTGATTAACTTGTCGGTGCCAGTCTGTTGTGTAAGTTGCCAGACACAGATTAGAGCAGCGCAAGTCCACATCAAGCAGGTCAAGAGGACGACTACTGTTTATCAGTACTGCCGCTGTGACACATAACAGATCTGTGTGCCTGTCAGATCGTCCTATATTTGACTAGATTACAGGTGCTAATGTTTTGGCTCATGATCTGATGCACAGGGATCTACCCATAGATCTTCAGTTATGTAACAGCAGCTGTAATAGCCAGGGTTTCTAAAGTGAAATTATTCTATCAGTTCATGGTCAGGTGACCGGTAGAGTAACTATTATAGCTGCCTCACTGACAAGTAGTCTCAAAAACAGTATTCAAAATATGTCATCCAAATAATCACATGACCGCTGTCTGCCGTCACTTTTAGCCTTAGAGTGAAGAAAATGCAGTGATATGGAGTAAGTGTCCCCTCAGTCCCCATCCCACTATTTGTATTGTGTACATAATGGAGGGGTCGTTTATAGTTCCGTTATGCGTCGAGTTAATAACCACTTACATGGTGATGATGATGATAACAGTAACGGGGGGGGGAAATAAATATTTTTGTATTTATTGTACATTTGTAACCAAAAAGAGCTTCATATTTATTTGCACTGGTGCAGGTTCAACATGTAATGTACTCCTTGTTGTGCTTCATTAAGTGCTTTGATCTGGATGTGTGGACAAAAAAATGACTACAGTAGATCTTCTTTCTCTGCAAATTAAGTGTCTTCCTTTGCTGACCCAGTTTATGCTATAAACGACTAGGGGAGTCACTGTGCCACATTTGTAATGTTGTAAACAAAACCCAAAGTAGATCACTACCTCTACCTTGTGGAGTGCATATTAGCCATAAACCATGTTGCATGCTATGTACTTTTCCCAGCTGTTTTTTTTTTTTTTTTTTGTTTTTTCCCCCCCAAGCTGAACATTGAACAGTGCAGCTCTTTGTATACTACATTAAAAATGAAAATGACATTCTGCACCCTGTTGTTTTTGACTTAAAGCATATTGTGGTTCCACACTGATGGGTTACAACTAATAAACATGTCTCCCAAAAAAAGTGACAAAATATTTATTTATTTTAAAGTTTTATTTTGTCAAAAGTCAGTAATCAAATTCAAAAATGCATGTTACACAAATCCTCATATACACTGTATGGACAACAGTAGTGGGCCCCACCTTAAAGCATGGTGCTGTAATAGGATGGCTACCATTGCAACAAGGCAGCCTGGGGAATTCTTTCCTCCTAAATATTCTACAATCAGTTATAAGCGGTATTGCAAAGTGGAAATGTTTAGATACCTCAGAAAACAAGCCACAAAGAGTCAAACCATATAAAATTATAGGATGGGGTCACTGACAGCATTAAAGTTGCCATTGCTCTCCTGGCTCCGTAACTGTAGAGGTCCAAACCTCTGCTGGCGTTAACATGGGCACCAAAATTGTATGTTGGGAGCTTCATGGCATGGATTTCCAGCCGCTCCTGCAGGAGTAATGTGTAGGTAGCCCAGTACTTTTGTTCATATTATTGTGCTTTTTGTGTACAAAAGGTGTCGCACACTTCAAATCACACAAATTTAAACCATCCAAAGACATTGAAATGCACAGGTTTGCATAGTATTCTATAAAATATATGTTAAAGCTAAAAAAATCAAAAGTATTTAAACAGTCAAGTGTAAGAAATGGGTTGTAGTAGTCCCTTTGTTCACATCACTCCTTTGATTTGTGGTCATTAATGTAGCGTCCCTATTAGCTCACTGCAAATCATTTGGTGATTCATGAAAACCTCATTTCTGCATGCAAATGTCAGATATCTCTGCAAATCAAATAAAGCAAGGCTGTCGATGAAATTTTGCATTGCGGGACTTTTAAAGTGAAATTACTGTTAAAAAGGAGAAGTGCAGTATATCTTACACTGTTTCATTGTCTACTTGGTAGGGGCGAACCCCACGCGATCAGCATTCCTGTCGAACACTGTGTAGTACTTCCCAATGAATACATCTCCCAGGATCCAGAGGGGTCCTGCAGGAGGTGGGATATCCATGGCCATAAAGCCTGACAGACAGATAGTCACACCCAGCTGAGACTCCTGCAAACAAGGGGAAAGATTTTACTCCTTACCCTCAGCAATCATCATCTTTGACCTCACTACCACTAAAGGACATGTGACAACTGATGATTGTTTCTTACAGTTTTTGGGCAATAATTACAAAAACTGTCATTAGATTTTATTATGACTTAAAAACACCACTTCTTATTGGTTTAAGTCAATACCTTCACGACATAATCCTCTCCGGTCAAGTTGAACGTCTTTCCTCCAATGTCGAAAGAGATAACGGGGAGAGTTGGAATCTTATTACACTCGATCAAGGCCTGAAGGGGACAGAAAATGTATGTCAAAATTAAGTTAAAAATCAAGGTGGAAAGATGCAGTGGGTGGCTTGTAATTACACACTCATCTTTACCTCTCCCATGAGCAGGGGGATCGCTCCAATGGCTTTCTGCAGTGCCTTGACTTCCTCCTTAGGACCCGTAATTAGGGACGTCCCTGTGTCAACGATAGCCTGGCAACCGGCTTTGCAAAGAGTCAGCTGGTTGCCAACATCAACTCTGTGGGGACGGTAAGAAGGAACCAGCATGGTGGGACCAAGAAAGAAGGGGCATGAGCTTATGTTCACTATCTGCTGTTCACCACACAATTAAACCCAACTTTCATCCGCCTACACATCCAACTGGCAAATCTCACATATGTCACACTGCTTATACTGCTTTAACTTACGCACAGCTGCTGCCCCTCTGCAAACTGTGTTGCTACCCACCTGCACCCTTCTATTCCCTATACCCTTAATGCATTTAATGTGCTCAGATCCACACTATGGAAACATATATTTCTGTAGGCAGAAATAATAACAATCTAACCTAATCTAATCTGAAATGGTTTTTTCCTGCATGCACGCTCACTTTGACGTCACGGATAGTATCCATGACAAACAGGGAACAGAAAGTCTGTCATGTGTCATGTGGACTATTCAACTTTTAAGAACAAAGCCACTCAGGTTCCTTCTCACCTGTTCATCCCGATCTGCCAGTAGGCCTTTCGTGTCACATTAACATAGTGCAGGTCTCCAGTGTAGTACTGCGGGTCTGTCCCTCCCAGCGTCAGCTCCCCTCCTACTTCTGCGGTCGGGTCTCTGGTGGAAGGTAAAAGTAAAAAGAAGCCATCGTGTTAGCAAAAAACACCAAACACATTTTCACAGCTGACTTCTCCACACAGTTGTGTGCAGTGTAAGGCTAAACTGTCAATTGCATACCAACCTGCTAATGTAGAAAGAGAAAATGTTCTGGGGGAGTAGCTTGGCAGCCATGGCCGTGTCAAACACCGGCATGACATCAGCTACAGATATTGAGGGGTAGCCCATGCCCAGCACCCCATCGAATCGCGCAAGGGCAAACGTGATCCCGGGCTGCTTCACCGCTTCTCCAAACTGCTGCCCAGGCACAGACAGACCTGCAACCTGCAATCCATGCCAAAGGAATAAGAGGGAATGGTCAATACACAATAAATGCTTCGAAGGAATGCCAGGAATGGTGTGATCACCAAAACTGAGAAATGCAGTCAAACAAAGAGCTTAGTGATAGTGACTGAGTGTTTCTCAAACTCACAGTGACATTGTCCCCGCTGATGAAGCCAGACAAGCTGCCCGTTCCATACTGGATGGAGAACTCTGTGCCATTCTTGACATATGTGCTCGACTTCTTTGAGTTGTAGCGGTGATGAAACCCTGATAAGAGAAAACCATCAATCATACTTAAAATTCATGGATTTGTTGGACTTCATACTCCTGCATACATGGGGAGCTGCCCAGTGAGCTGCTCCCAGGCCCCTGAGAGGCCCCTGCCATTATCCACCACATATGCTGTCAAATCTAAATGAGGATGTGGTTCCAATAAGTCAATAGCACTCTGTCTCTGACTGTTGAGTGCTATGTAAAAACCACAGTGTATTTTCATAAAATCTTGTGGAAAGGTGGTGCACAGGGCAGAGAAAGAACCCATCAAACTTTGGCATTAAAGTTACTAAAAGCTTTTGAATCTGAAGTTCTTTTTTCAAAAATAACAAATAAATAAATATTCAAACTCACAGCAGGCAATATCCAACACGGAGCAGTGAATGGAGGGGACCCACAGGTTGGAGGAGCCAGTGTCAAACAGCACAGTGAAGTTCTGTGGTGGGGTGCCAATACTTATAATCCCATAGTACTGAGACTGAGGAGACAAAACCGGGAAACAATGCAGTACCGACAAAGTTAAGCAGGATCGTGCAGGAGTTACTGCCAATATAACAGTTTGCCTTTCAGCTGTACTAGTTCTCAGCACAAAATTAATCTTAGCATTAATCTCAGACTTTTTTTTCCATCCCCCAAGTTATTTCAAATACAGGGCAAAGAAGAAAAGGGTGGGAAAACATGTGTTATCACAGGTGCTTAAGTCTAATATTTACTTAATTTAAAATCTCTCTCTCACAGGTTAAAATATGCGATTGACCCTTGAATAAGACCTGCACACTAACATTAGGTGTATTTACGCTCATGCATGAACTGTTAATTTGTAACTTTTAACTGAAGTGTCCTGCAGGTGATACATACATCCAAGAAGTTGGTCAGCCTTTCCACGGGCAGCTGTGGGGATGGAGCGCTGTCCGGTGATCCGGTGCTCTTCGCCAAAGCCCGCAGCTCATCCACGGACAACCCATTATCGCTCATCAGGCGGCGCAGGCTCCTTGTTTTATAAAGAGGAACTCTGCCGTAACAAAACGAGATTTAATTAAAGGATGCGCGCGCGAGTCACGCGCGCAAAGATGCAGCTTCCTGGTGCTGTCCACACGGAAACCCTTCTCACACTGAAGCCTCTCAAGTGGACAAAACTGGCAGCAAATAATATTTTTAAGTACACCTGCGACAGGTGCTGCCTCAGACCGGAAAGGACAACAGCACGCGAGCATTCATGAATCCTTATCTAAAGTCAGAGGGACGGATAGCAATAGTAGCACGCGCAAGTTACATCACTACTGGCAGATAAATGTTATTTACCTCAGGATGGCGGTGCATTGTGCTAGCAGCAGCACCCCGGCCACACAAAGTATCTGCAGTCGACTCATTTCTGACCTCCAGAGTAAAAGTCCACTTAATTTCCGAGGCTAATGGACGCAGAAACGCGGAACCGTCTACTTCAACTGACGCACTAAAGCTGAGTGAAAGTACTTCGATAACATCCGCTCTCACTCGACTTTGTCCGCTCTGCGGCTCCGCGGTTGGAGGGCAGTAATGAAAAGGAAGCTGCCATTGGTTGAAGAGTGCGGCCGTCACTCAGAGCTACAAACAGGCGCACTAGGTGTGTGACGGATCACGAGTTCTACTCTGCTCACTGCGCATTGCACAGATGTGTTAAAATAATGGAAAACGTCCCACAAAAAGCTCGGTGAATAATCTGTAAACATGCAGTTTGTTACTGGCTGTTGGTGAAAGGCTACTTTTGATGAGGCTCCTCAAACACAGACCTGACTAAATAGAATTAGAGAGATGTGTGTGTCAATTGAGTTTCAAAAACATGGGCTCCTGCTGCAGTTGCATCTTTGGTAAAGGCACTGGTGTTTATAAGATAGTTGGTTTTTACAAATGCTTGACATGGCGAGTAGTATTCAACCTGTGGTTTTTGATAAAATAGGGAAGTAACCAAGCCACGAGGACTCGATTTTTTTTCTTCTGCTACTTTTAGAAAGTCATTCCACAGTGTCCAAATCACTGACCGCTGCTTTTAGAAGCTCACCATTTAAAGTCCTACTCAAATATGAATATGCACACTTTTGGCTTGTTTTCACTTAGGACTGTTACCTCACAGTCTAAATTGTTGGTTGGATACACTGTTTTAGGTATGTTCAAATATATTAAACATCCATGTAATTATTGGAGTAAAAGGGTAG